CAGGAAATACTTGAGTAAAAGGTGATGCTGATGTACTTTTAACTGAACCTTTCTTCTTTCCTGCTACAATAGATCTGTAGCCCAGGTACAGCTAGCTCATTGCTGACAGGGATGCTTATCATTGTGTAAACTTCAACAATTGACTAAGTACGTCCTTAAATACAGTACACGAAACTAAGAGCCATGTTTATTTTATCTAAAAGTAGACTATTTTTTAAGGTGATAACCTTAAGCAGCAGGTGACTCAGGAAGTGCAAGTGAATTGATGCAGTATCATTAGAAAGCGTATTGGAGAAAAGCAAACATAACAAGCCTTAGTTTGGTTGCAATATAATGCTCACATTTTTTTCCATCTATGCTATGATAACAGGACCATGGTGACAAGAAAAATCTGACATGGAAAAATGATCGTGTAGTCCAATGGTAGCATGTGTCACATGCAAGATGATGTGACATAAGCAGTTTACCTTGCCACTCAGTGCCGTTGTTTTTTTAAGCATAACCAGTCTGTTAGCAGTGGTTTTGAGTGGGAAAATTTGGTGAGACTGATTTTTGTATGAGACTTTTCCATTCGAAATCATTTACACAGAAATCTATTTGATGTTAATTTCCATAGTGTTTCCATGTAGCTCCGTGTTCACAGCTTGCTCCTGTAGTTGTCCACTAGAGAAGTAACATCTATAAGCTTAACTGTCATTTGCTCTGATGGGGAAGAAGTGCTGTAGGGGAACGCTGAGGACAGACAGGCTGCAACATGTAAGTCCCTACACCACCTCTTGAGATTGTTTAGGGATTTGTCCTTAATTTTGCTGTTAATTTAGATAAATACAGCTGTAGCACAGCATGCAGTGGCCAGATCTCCCATAGGTGATGACCAGCATGCTCCTTTCACAGTGGGTTGGCAGTGGCTGTCCCTGGACGCCCTGTTCTTCACTCGCTACCACTTCTGCGTGAAGGCTCTGTTCTGACCCTCTAACAACTCAAAATACTTTTATGAAATGTCAGTTGTCTGTTGTTCAGTTCTGGTCAGTATTGTCAGCTCTGTCCCTGGGAGGAGTCTTTACCTGGAGAGTTGGCTGTGGAGAACTTGCTGAAACCTGAAAGCTCTTCACTGCCCTTACACTTCCTTTTTGGCTTTGTAGGACTAGCGCTTCATGTGCTGAAATGAGCAAATTCTTGTTTTTTGGGGGGCTTAGAACTTTAACTATCTCTAGTTAAGTAACTTCTGAAGTAAAGATCCCATGTTTACCTTTACTTGACAGCATAGAA